AAAAACAAACCTCCAGTGTAGCCTACAAAAATATTGGACAAAGTTAACTGAGCTACCCACACTCAGGCTGGTGATTCCTATCCTCTGCTTTCTGGCAAGCAAATACTGAGGAGGTAGGCTTAGCAGAGAATCAGAAAGCTGTAATACGACAATCATGCATCCCTCAGTGTTTTCTAATAGCAACTGAAACAAGAAAGACTGCTTGTTATTTATTTTAAAAAGGAAAGGAGATTTTAAAAAAGTTTTTGCTCTCTTTAGCACTTTCTAATTATTGGTATTACAATAATAGAAAGCTGAGACAATTATTAGCCATTCTGTAAGCTTTTTCAAGTGAAAAACAGGATGGAAATGGAAAATAAAACAAAATTCAAACAACTAGAAGAATGTATATGCAGCAGGACTAACTAAATGTAGTGTTTATTCCCTAATGGTAATAGTGACTTAGAAGCTAGATATTTCTGGATCTCTTCTTTTAAGCACTTTGCACAACTCTAAAAATGAGTTTGGCTAAAAACACTGAAAAATGGGTGGTTATCAGCTAATTATTTCAGTGTTTACAATAGCGTTATTATATTCACAAGGGAACCAAGATATTTCCATGGCTATGAACTTGCTGACCTGTAATTCTCACTTCATGTAATCTTATCAAACCCTGATTGCTCACGGTGTAGGCTTGAAATACTAAGGAACTTGCATTTAGAATTTACATCATTAATTAAAGGAGGAACACTTTATTATTTCTCTCCTAAAATGCTAGCTCTTGGAAACAACAAAAACATATAACTGATAAAGAAATGAAGATGACCCCACATTAAGAATTTGGAAAAGAATGCTACCTATTTTTACACAGTACTGACAGAGGATTCAAGTTTATTATACTGGAGAACAATTTGGAATTGTTTATTTGTTTGTAGTATGTATTAGCATAATTACAGTTGCGTTACTGGTGACAGGACAGCATATAAATAAATAAATAGCATTTATTTATAGACTTATTTTTCTTAATTTTAGTAACATTAGATAATTGTTATATCATCTTGCAATCTCCTTCTTTAAGGAAGAAAATATCTCTAGAATTTTTAGTAACTCCTTAGCCTTGACTCTGAACTTGGAATAAAAGCAGAACAAAAAGGATCATGCTTGGTTAATATTTAGATGGAAGATACCAGAGGATTTCAGAGTGCAGGCTAGATTGGCAAGTGGATAAAATATCTGGAAGAAGGGCATGACAAACTATATCTGAAATCCTGCCAAGAAAACTGCATGATGTGTCCAAGCTGTCATTAAAACTCAAGCCAACACAAAGTTTATTTTTAATTTCTTACTATAGATATACTTTAATAGATACTTACAAAATAATGATATTCATATTAAACTGGCAATTATTATTGTGCATAGGACCATTGCATAAATATCTTGCCTAAAGAACTCATGATAATCCTGAGATGCAAACTACAAGAAATAACAAACTGGTAATTTATAGGTACCAGGACACTGAACAATGATGCAGTAGAAATATTAATTTTTCATAATGTTAATGAGAAGAATTATAATTAGGTAGCCACACTTTATCTTAAATACATTTCTGTATTAAGCATACCCTTCTTCTTAGGATTTCTGTTTGAAAGTTGACAATCAGACTTTGCCAATATCTCCTAAATTATGCCATAATTCAATGGATTTTATTATGGATTATGGATTTTATTCAAGTTAAAAGTCTTACATAAATTATACCTTTAAAATTAATGTGCGGGATTTGATTTATCTGCATAACAGATGAAGCTAATACTGAATATGAGTTCACAATCCACAGTGAAAAAAGGAAGATAATCTATAGTTAACAAGCAATAATTGCAAGCAAATGCAAGTTTGAAAATCTCACATTAAAAATGGACTCCATTAACCCTTTAAATACTCAGGATATTATTTTTTTTACTGTAGAAAAGACAATGATGTAAGTATTTCATATATATTAGGGAGTGGCTCTCCTAATATACACAGCTGAAGTGCTATCACCTGCTTCAGGATCCCTTCTCATTTTCTCTTAATTGAGAAAGCCATTATGGGAGATTCAAGAGGTGGTTCTTCTCTGCTGAGATCTCTTGACTTTGGAAGGTTCTTCCTGTGGAGGTTAGGCTTATGTCAACGCAACCTATCAATGCAATCTGAAACCTGTTTTTGGGAGCCAGATAAAGATGATATCTAGTTTAATAAAAAGAAAAAACTAGGGGTGACATGATAACAGTGTTCCAATACTTAAGGGGTTGCCACCAGGAAGAAGGAGTCAACCTACTATTCAAAGCACATGAAGGCAAGACAAGAAGCAATGGATGGAAACTAACCAAAGAGAGAAGCAATCTAGAACTAAGGAGAAATTTCCTAACAGTAAGAACAATTAATCAGTGGAACGACTTTCTCCTGAAGTTGTGGGTCTCCAACACTAGATGTTTTTAAAAGAGATTGGACAACCATTTGTCTGAAATGGTATAGGGTTTCCTACTTGGTATAGGGTTGGTTTAAAAGACCTCCAAAGTCCCTTCCAACTCTGTTCTATTATAAAATTTGCTGTTTCAACTTATTTTTGGAATGCAGTACCTAAAGCCTAACCATACCTTTCTAGCACCACAGTTTTAATTATTTTTATAAACAAAGTAATTGTTTGTTTTTTGTCTGATCTGTATGGATTATGGTTTACTGCAGACACTGAATAATGGACACATTATAAATATTATAAATGCTTTTCAACATTTTTATAAATCTTGTAGATGAAGAAGCAAAAGCGATACTCATCAAATTTGAGGTTGGTACAAAGTTGGGGGATTGCTAACACTTAAGAAAAGTTCAAGATTTTAAAATATCTTAATAAAATTTGAACTTTTGGCCCTTTTCATCAAAACACTGTCCACTGAAGAGCAAAGTAATATTCTTCTCTAAGTAGGAAAAAACCATGGGTTGCAGATGCATGGGTTACAAAACAAGTGGTTCCTGCCTCAGAAATGGTACTTTAGAGAAGAATCTGAATATATTGGCAAACTATAGATTAAGCATGAAAACTAGTGTGCTGCAGTTACCAAAACAGTCAATGCAATCTTGGACTGCATCAATTGAGATATGAATGGCAAGATCATGGGAAGTGATCATTCCACTCTGTGCTGCACTGGGAAGATCACACTTCGAACACTATGTGAAGAATTTTCAGAGAGAAGAGAGTATAGCTTTAATCTCCATGGTGCCTTGAGAGCAGCACAAAAACTGAGAGAGGAAACTTTAAAGAGAGAGATCTACACCTGAAATAAGGAGGACAATCCTCATTTTGAGAGCTATTAATTAGTAGAATAGCCTGCTTTCCGGAGTCATGAATGCTTTATCACCGGAGGTTTTCAAGCAAAGTTTAAACCATCATTTGTCTGGGATGGTCTGAGGGTTCCTACTCTAGTCAGAGGCTTAGATTAGAAAGGTGGTAAAGGCCTTTCAAGAATCTATGATTCTATGAAACAAATAGACACACTTTTTGAACTCTTTAGTGTCTGCAAATGCCTATGTCCATATGTTAGGTAACAAAATAAACAGGTCTTAATCTAAAATAATATCACAACTGGAACAGTCTTCTGGAGATTGCAATTTCATACCTGCCTAGCTGCGAATAAACTCTATTCAATTCATTTATTTCTGAACAGACATGTATACCGTTACACTATAAATCTAGTTTAATATTACAAACTATATATCAAGACCAGGAACATTAAATTCTAACTAAAATCTATGGATTTAATACTATTGATTACACAGTTTCTTAATGTTCATTAGGCTTTTATACTTCTGATTTACTACAGACATAATTTCTAATTTATGCCTGCCAAGTGCATTTTATTTATATATTTAGCTTTATTTAATTATTAAAGTAACTTGGTTGCTTTTAGTTACTTTTCTTTCAACCAAAGTAATGGATTAAGCACTTTTAACATTTCTTACAAGCAGCAATGTATATAACATAGTATATAATGAAAATGCATCATGATTTTTTATTGTTTCTGTATACAAGCACATAAGTACATTTATCATGCAATTCTAACAGAAAATTGCTACTCAACTCTTACAATAGTTCTCTTAGTCTAGCAATAAACAAATGCATGAAGATTACATTAAAGTTCATGTGCTAAAACAGTTCATGTGCTAAAACAGTGTGTATTTATACTATAGTACCCTTTTGTGAGAAAATGTGATATAATATATATATATTTAAAAGGTTTTTAATTATAAGGATACTAATAAAACATACATCTCAGATATCAAGATACAATCATATATGCCAAAACCATTATTCATTATTATTCAATCTGAATAGTAACATTTCCATTGAATATCCAATCCAGATAGCCTTACAATGTAATTATGTTGTGGAGATGTCTATGTCAATAGAAATACTAATAACCTACAACTAATTTCAATTACATTTTATTAACTGCAGGTGCACATAATCAGGAACAGTTTTATGAAATGATATAGTAAAGGTTTACAGCTATTTTAAAAAGCTTTATGATAACTCTGTTTATGAAGCAAGTAGTAAAATTTTCTTAATTTCTATGCCATTTTTTAAAATGGCTAATATTTTAGACATTTTTTCTGATAAGCACAGGATGGTTGATATATAAGTACCACTAGTACCATTTAGCATATTAAAACTAATAGGTGAATTCTCAAAAACACCTTAGAATATGAAATAAAAAAGTCTGCAAGAAATTAAAACCAAAATCCTCAACATAGAAGGTGGGACTGAGGTCACCTAAATGAAAAATGTACAATGCCCAGAGTGATTGGACTGTGACCTGACAGACCTTCTCGGGGGATGGTTGCCGTTTATGTTTAGAAAATTCAAGGGTGGAATTACAACTCTAACTAATCAGAAAGCAGGATTGTTAGCATATATCTCCTTAAAAGTGAACACCATAATCTGGATCACATATGAACATGTGCCATTCAATGGTCTGAATAGTTCATACCTTTGATAGTAAGCTTCAGTTGCCTCTGGAGTATGATGTTTTGAATGTGTTCTTTTGATTAATTTCTAAAACATTGAAAAAAAAACAGTTTTGTAATAAACCAGTAACAAATCCCTGGAAACTTCCCCCCACCCTCACCTCCCCCATGAAATCCTAGATGTAGTTCCAGAAATGATTTTTTTATTTATATATTAAATGAAACATCTTTTGACTGTAGTGCGATACAGCATATATGTAAAAGGCAGTAAGGTCACAGTAATTGAATCTAAATAAGTTTGCTTAGGGTTACAAAGGGCAAAGGAAAAACTTGTTCTCTCTTTCAACCTTTATATTAATTTCCCTTCAAATCAATTCCATCCAAGTCCTATGCACTCTGGTTTACAATTCAATTGGCATTTTTAACCAGGAAGAACATTGTTTAAAAACAACTTATTTGAAAACTACAGAAAGTAATTCCATTGAGACTTGCCACTTGACTGACACCTGTCATCTCATGATAAATGACTCCATTTTCTGCCTCTCTTGCCTTCTGCCACTCCGGCAATGGTCATTTATCATCATCTCTGTCAGCCATGGAAAGCAGCACTGACAGTGCAAGTCAGCAAACATTTAGCACATGGAACCACGCAACACAGGGAAATTATTATTGTCAGAATAATAATGGTTTAGCATAATTTATTACAGGTCCACCAAATAAGCAAAGGCTAGATGTTATTAGACAGATGGATGGGTAGGCTTGGCAGCCATCCACCGAGACTCAGGCGGTGCTTGATGGGGAAAGGGGAACATCCTCCAAACCAATCAGAAAGCTGGCAGTTCAATTACAAAGAAATAAAGGGACATTCATCATTCAATTAGGCACCTGTCAACCCTCACAAAGGAGAAAACTTCTAACCTGGTACTCCTGGGAGAAGATGCTCAGCAGAGTGGACTGCGATTGACTGGAACAAATAAAAGAAGGACAAAGTTAATTACTGGAGTGCACAGCAGAGAAACAAAAGGGAAAGGAGCTTCAAAGGTAGGCCTGCTGCCCTGTAATCTAACAGAACACGAAAACAAGTGTGGAAAAGTTGTTCCAGATGAAAACCTCAGACAAAGGCTTCCTACTGCTAGGTCAAGGAGAGAGTAAGAAAAAAGAGTTTGTAAGGAAGGGGAAGAAAAGTTGCATGTTGCTTTGGTCATTCCTTTCCAGCTTCATAACACACAAACTGGGGTATTGGTAGCATGTACTGAAGTTAGAAAAGAAAACAAGACCGTTTTCATTAATAGCTGATGCAGCTAAATTCCATTAGCTGTTGGGAACAGACTGATTGTTCACTGGCGACATATTGAAATTCATTTTGTTAGCAGCAAGGAAACCTCTTCAGTAGCTGTCTCATATTCAGGGGTGAAACCCTGCTGTCTGTCAGAAGCAGGATATGGGACTATGGTAACATTCCTACTAAAAGTGATGTGCTTTGAAAATAGAAACTTTCACAGCAGGAAACTGAGATTCCCTGGAGTTGGTAATTTCCAGAGGCTGCCATAAATTTTATTCTTTTAAAACTCAGTGTCAAATACCTGGCAATAAAGTAAACTGGAATAACATCACTACCACCACCACCACGGAACATTTCTCTCTCTGAAACATTTAGAAACAGGACAAGATTTTTCCATCCCTCAAAAACAGGTCATACTGTTTCCAATTGTACTCTAGGGATGAGTCTACCTCATCACATCTTGAAGAAAAATTGATGCGACCGAAACAAAAGACCATCTCTATGCAACAACTTTTCATTAAAGAATGCACAATGTATAATTAATATTTATTTTAATTAAAGATGAAATAAGCAATACAAATATCCAAAAACTACACAAAGAGTACACATAACACATAACACACCCACTCACCTAACAAAGATTTATGTTTAAAAATGTCGATCAGAGGAAATATTATCTGAAATACATTGATCAATTGACTAACATTCTTAGTATCTTTATTTTCATAGTAACAAAATCAGAACATATTCTGAAATCTTGAGAAAATTTGAACTGGAAATTTACCAATTATTTTAGGAACTAATAATGCAATTTTGCCCAGTTGTTCTATTTTGCGGATTGGGTGGTCTTCAAATATTGTAAAGTATATAAATATATGTAAAGTAGTATCAGTAGCTGATGACCGAATCCTCAACATTTCATCATATGTACTACTGATTGTATTGGTATGATGGAAAAGGTCATGAAGATGGTACACATTCCAAAGCAATGAACTAGTTTGTATCTCTAGTCTGTTCTTCAAAAAATGTTTCTGTCAGAATTGTAGGAGTTGATAGGAAAATGTATAAAATGCATCCCGCAAAACTTGCTTGGTTATATTGTTGACCAGATCATTCTATTAAAGCAGTATTTAAAGATCTCTCCAGAGGCTCTAGCAGATTGAGTCTTTCAGAAGCTCAGCATAATCTGTGAAATAATTCCAAAAGAGTGCCTTTTTAGATCTCTCTGTAATTCTAAGCAAATGACATAAAAATAAGAACTCATAGAAATGAATGGTTGATGCTATCACAAGGGAACAATTACAATCTGCAAAGCACTTGGTGCTAATTATAAAGTAAGTTCAATTCATTATCCTTCAGCTGATTACATATATTTCAGTTGTCTTAAAACTGTACGTTAATTGCTGAATTCAACTCTCCCACCTCTATACTTCTTATAGAAATTACAGATTAAAAATATGCTAATCCAGCCTTTAAATAAAACACCCGAATATTTCTTGATATCTCGTCAGGTACTATGCCAGGAATCATCAAGAATTGCCTTATTGTTATAAGATTCCTTTTTTCACCTTGCAAATGTGAGACTCTAACCCAGATCTACTGTGTTCAATACTGGCCTGAAAGATATGTTTATGCAAAAACATCACTGGCTGTTGCCAAGCCTAAACTGGAAGAAGCTTATTTTGACATTCGGAACACAACCTTGTTATTATATTTAATATAATTGTTTAAACTCTTTTAATATTTTAAAAGAGAACAGCAGTAGGAAAATACTATAAAAATGAAAGAAATGCACAATGAAATATTATGCAGACAATGTAGTATTAGCAATTCTGCAACCACCAAGTTCAGTTGCTGAAAGCTGAAAGTTATCAAAGATTTTGGCTGCTTTTTTGGATGTAAAAATAGGAGAAAAAAATAAAGTAATAAAAAGTCACTTAACCTCTGAAGAAGAAAATGTTATTAAAAAAATCTGATTGTGGCATAACAAAAGATCCGATGATATACAGTATTTGACTGGCAGGCAGCATGCTTTCTTATTGTATGTTCTATATATATTTTACAGTAAAATAAGACTGGATTATATAGCATAGATCAATCCACTTTATTATATGGGTTTTAGATCAATTAAAATACTACAACACTAGGTAGTCAACCACAGAATTCCACATTTATTTAAAAAACATGTTTCCCATAGCACATAGCGCTTTCTCTCACTAGATATGAACACACACACACACACACACATAAACATGACATACACACATGCACACACAAGCATACCTTGCTAACTGCAAAATGAGGCACAAATGAAATTTTGACTTGCAAAAAAATAGTATGTCCAAAAAAGACAAGTTTGGGAAAAACTTCAGAGTTATAGCTCTTCCTGTAAGTTTCATTTGGATAGACTAGTTCAACCCCAAGATATAGTAAGACCTATTTATAGGTCATGACAATCACACTGAATATTCTCAATATAGACCGAGAGATTTTTCTGCTTGAGGAAGATAGCCTCTACATTTCTGAGTCAAGCTGAATAGCACCCAGGGCAACTGAAATTATTTCAACATTGAAGAGGAAAGCAATCTCATTACATCCTCTCCCATTGCCCTTTGCAATTCCAACAGTATGTTTCCACTGATGGAACTGTTTCTAACAGCAGAAACGGAAACAACTAACCCCCTTGTCGTCTCTAAACTAAGTATGCACACTTAAAGAGCTGCATCCAACAGGCTTCAATCTAAGCTATGAAACTCTATTATGATTAATAACATAAGGTCAATGAATTGACTCGTTGAGAACAACACCAATTAGCTTGTTATTTTCTACTTTATGTTTAATAACACTAGAAAAATGTGAGCAGCAACCTGATGCTTGCTTTATGTAGTATAAGAACAGTTTTATGGAAAATCTGTGGGGGGGAAACATATTGCTTGGAAAGTATCATCATTCATACAACCTTGACACCAAAGTTGGTCTAACAACCGCAATACAATTTTAAACGATTGTGCAATACACAGAAATGGTAATATTTAAAATTCATAGTAACACAAGCCTATTACTTTTCCCACAGAGATAGCTGAACTTTAATAATAACTAACCTGGTTGAGCATTACTTTCCAGCAACAGACAAGAGGAAAATGTCAACAGAAGATACGATTTACATCAATTTTAGTTTAAAATAATTTAGCAAGATATTGAAAAACTGAGTGTCTAGCAATTATTATCCTGTCTTTTCTTATAACTTAATATATTTAAAGATAATTCAACATATTAAAGCTAAAAAGAAAAAAGAAAAGTAAATGCAACCTGAGGACTAAAAAATGTAAGTAAACTAGCCAAGTTAAGGGGGTGAAGGTTCATTCTCCATGCTTGTGGATTTGTTTCTGAATGTTTCATTTCCAGGGTAGGTAACATCTTCAGCCAACCCAGAAACCAACCCACAAGCTCGGAGAACGAACCTTCACCCTCAACCAACACCCGAGCTACAGATATTCAACACTATAAGCAAGTTAGTTATATGCAGCTAGTCCTCAATCAATGACTGATTGCTTATCCTAAAGGTGCTTTTTTCCTTAAAGACGTTTTGTTTCTTGTCCAAGAACTGAAGAAGCTTCTTGGATGAGAAGTGAAAAGTTTTCAAGGAAAAACAAAATCCAATTGCCTTTTGAAAATAGCACCTTTGGGACAACCATGACCTGAATGACTGAGAATCTCCATAGATGACTGGTTGCTTACTGGCCAGAGTTATGATGGACTCAAAAAAAGTCATGGCCATGTGTTTGCATTTCAGATGGTTGGCAACTAGCTCACCTTTATGACTGGTTGCAGCATCCCACAATCATGTCCACAATGATTTGTGATTTTTTCCCCTCATTTCTGGCAAAAATTGCCCATTCAGTAGAATGGATTTGCTTAATAATGACATAGTTCACTTAACTACCTGATTCACTTAATTACTATGAACTTGCTTTTTCTACTATCTGTAGAAGTTTATTTTATGTGAAACAAACATTCAGCCCTCACAGCAATTCAACTGAAATATAAAGGATTTAACTTCATACTTCCATGTTTTGAAAGACTGCATATAAGCAGGAAAAAAAACATAGCTGTCGTGCATATAGGGCCACCAAAAGTGACAAAGCTAAATTAAAAGGAGACACTACTGTTTCCCAATGGATGTCATATGATGCCACTACTTTTACTGTGTGGCAGTAAAAATCAGTTGCCACACATAAATATAGATATTGACAACATAATTGCTTATTTACTACTGTGTTATTATTATTGCAGTCTACTAACAGAATAACAGAGTTGGTCTTCTGGTCCAACCCCCTGCTCAGGCAGGAAACCCTATACCATTTCAGACAAATGGTTGTCCAATCTCTTCTTAAAAATCTCCAGTGTTGGAGCACCCACAACTTCTGGAGATAACTTGATCCACTGATTAATTGTTCTGTCAGGAAATTTCTCCTTAGTTCTAGGTTGCTTCTCTCCTTGATTAGTTTCCATCCATTGCTTCGTGTCTCACCTTCAGATGCTTTGGAGAATAGATTTGACTCCTTGGTGGCAGCCCCTCAAATATTGGAACACTGCTATCATATCACCCCTACTTCTTTTCATTAAACTAGACATACCCATGGTGTTGAATTAAGTTAGTATCATTTCTGGGGATTGTAGGG